GCTCGCATGCAGCCATGAATACAGATATAGTGGACTTAAAACCTGGCAGCAGTGGCGCAGTTTCACCTGCTGTCTGCACCGCAGAGGTCTTCCACGAACACCTGAGCGGCTCCACTTTTTCACTGACATTATGCTCAGCTGTGGTTATTTATAGCTGCAATATTGGCATTCATTTATCACTCCATTGTGGGCAGCGCTATTTAAATGGTCACCATCAAAATGTGGGAAAGCTAATAAAAACGTCAGCTCACAGACACCCAGTTTGTTCATACAGACAATCTTCGAATGTCTTTTTCAGTCAATTTTTACTTGCCCCTATACAAATTGTTCTAAAGTTAATCGACACTTTTTCTAAATGAATCTGGAGTTTTGCCTTGACATGCTCGCTTGCACTTAAGCTCATAAACGTTGTCTTTACCCGCCGCCATTTTCTCGCGAGTGCCCGACTGTCACCGAGCATTTGCAACTCTCAACAGATATGAAAAGGAAGCAAGATGGCTCACTCTTTAGCTACTTCCATCATCAGCTGTGATTAATCTAAGTGAGTTGCTAGATTCACTAGCCCAAAGTGGCATTTGACTTGCCCCGGGCAAGCGGGCAATCCTTACTATTGAGCCCTGCGAGGAGCCTAATGTCACATGACACCTGCCACTTGCTTAAAGGAGTGTTTACCATCAATGGGTAACACATGTTTCACTTTCACTGTCATAGTTTTGTTGTTATTTTTCATAATATAGCGATGTAGAAAGATGATGTCTGCATTTTTAATCCCACCCTAGGTTACTAAGTTTTGATTGGTTATTTATTTTTCTGGCAGTTGAAATGAGCTGTTAAAAAGGGACAAAATACGGCGTAAACACAACTTTTCGGTGCTAGTGCACATACATGTGGGTATCCGGGTGCCTTAACATCCCACAAACCGTAAAATAAGACAACCAGTCAGTTCTTTGAGGGCCGCCTCAGCCAGAAAACATGTGATTCAAAAAGCCAATCAGATGCGGCTCCCCTTGTCACATGCAGGCTCATCAGAATATACCGCCACCCATGGCGGAAGAAATACCTTTGCAAAAGTGGACAATATTCTTCTCGCGAGCAAATCTGGGTGAGCTGGTCTTTTTCGGGAGGGGGGGGGGGGGCTTAAAGAGACAGGCACTAAAACAGAGTGTTTTCCCATTCAGAGTGAAGTAACTGTTGAGCCATTTGGATTAATTAACTCGTATCGACCCCCTGCAGTTATGTTCATATCACTTCGAGCTTTGGGGCTGTAAAAATCTTCCCACATGTAAGATCGTACCTGCAGCTTCTGTCTCTTCCAGTCTCAACTGGACGCTTTTTTCTGCAAACACCATAATGATTTTATAATGATCTTAAATCCGACCTGACGTAGAACAGCTCCCGGGCGTTTCCACTGTGAGTGGCGATGGCTTCTGGGTGGCAGATGGTTTTGTAGATCTGAACAGGTTTAACTTGGTGCTCTTGGCTTTGCCTGGAGGAGGCGGTGCCCCAAAGTGACGAGGGGCCGTGAGCTGAATGGAGCTCTGCGTGGCACTGAAAACGGAGTCCTGCCTCCTGCCGGGTCACCGAAGTGAAAGGTGTGCAAGCAGCCGACGGGCCAGGTACACGACTTACAAAGAGACAGTCATGGCACAAGAAATAATACCGTGGATTGTCTTGTTTCAGTCTTAGAAGACCAAATAAATGACGTGCTTTACTCTGCATTGTCTGGATATCCGGCCTCACTAGTCAGTTTCCAGGAGTTATTCACCAGAGGCTTGAGGTTTGGGAATGTCCAACATTGACTGTCAGAAGATCCCTGAGGAGACCTTTCTAGATAGTTCTCCTTTATCACAGGTAGGCATTAATGAGAAACTGTCCCCTAGATTTGGGGTGGACTTCTCATCGCTCAAGATTATTGTGTCTTTCGGGAGGATCCTGCATGCAGGGCACACGAGGACACTTGGAAGAGTAAACTCTCTGGAGGTTTTTCCTCTCAGTCAGGGTAGTAACTTCTAAGTGAGTGAAATTTTTGTGTGGCTTTTCAAAAAAAAGTCAAATGAGAGCCCGAAAACGTCGTTGAACAAGGTGTTATTTCAGAGGCGTTTCCTGTGGCCGCTTACACATTTTGGGGGTATAACGTCAAGGTGTCTGGACAGGAAGCTGGATGAACCGCTCAGCTTGTTTGATGAGCACGGACGTTTATGTGCATTGCTGCAGAAATGCATTTAGCAGTTAACCACAACTGCCGTTTTTAGGCTGTTTCTTTCTGTGATTACTTTCATGGTCGGAGTTAGAGACGAGCGTTTTGAGGCTCTCGCATCATCTCCACCCCCAAATGTAATGGTTATGTCTGACAAAAAGCTAAATATTAATTGCATGAGTGTCGGACACAAACACCCGTCCAGCAGCCCGACCTCCACTACTTTGCTTTTTGCCTCTCTACATAAAGAGCACGCTGCTTCCTGCCTTGATGACCATTTTAATAGACTTTCTTTGTTACTAAAATGGGTCTTATCACACAGGACAATTCATTCTGGTGATATAAATTTATAAAACTCGTGGTCAGACCTCGCTCTTTTCCCGTTATTCATCTTCAGTAAACTCTCTAATATTCCAGCCTCTCATTAGACAAAATATTAAGCTTAATGTGTTCCCGTAATATAAAATATCACATGGAGGTGTTTTTAAAGTCTCACGGTTAACTGTGCAGGAACGTCCACGTTGAACCTCAGCAGAGATCCGAGCGTGGGTCAGCTCTCTTAATGTGGCAGCAGCACAAACTTCACGAGCTTTTTTATTGTGTGTGTATTTTGGTGTTATGTTTTATGTTGTAGCGTTTAATGGCCCTGTGCCGCGTTAAACTGTATCCACAAAGGAGGTGCTTTTATGTTGACACAAAGACAACTTTCTTTATTTTTATTTTCATTTCAGCCTCACAATGAAATAGGTGTATAATATTGAGGATATCCTCTGATCGCTCATGATCTCACCTCATGGCTGCACTTCAGTAAATATATCTCTGACACTGTATGTTCTGTGTTTGTACTCGCTTCAATATTGGATTCTATATTTGTCCCCTTGTCATTACAGGTACAGGGTGTTACAATGTAAACAACCACAGGTTTAGCTCTTAAGTCTTAATAAGGGAATTAGATATCAAAAGAAAACACTCCGTATGTTTGTTGTAATTGCCTTGTGCCTGCTGCAGCTCTGATTGCATACATAATGTCTCCGACTCCTGGGAGACTTTGTGGAAATCGTCAAATTATCGAGGTGGAGAATTATACGACAGCTGCTCTATTTAAAAGAGGACGCTTGCCTCTAATAGTCTGCGTCTTAATAAGCACAAATGGCGACGACACAGAGCAAATTATTCTGTGACATGTTTTGCCCTACGGGGGGAGGGGAATAACGTAAACACTTTGCAGAGGAGGAATCTTAATTCGGCCTAAATCAGCATCACAAACACAGCTAGAGAGGAAGGGTATCGTCGGGCCGAGTGCCACTGAGCGGCAGCTTGTGTTTGTTTTTTAAACTTGACCGCTTTTCTCTCTTTGTCACCGCCGTGCGCCTCCTTTTTGTTTCCTTTCAGACCGGCACACCTGCACATCTGCGCTTGGCATACGTTTCCCATGATTCCCCAGGCTTTAACAATTGACAAATTAAATCATTCTTTCCGCTCTTTGGGCACAGATGGTTTGGTCTGCCTGCTTGGAGCCCGGCTTTTACAGCCGACATATGCTGCTTATTTGTATTAATCCCGACGTAACTCTAACGCTGAAGCAGTGATTGCGACTGTCATGAAATTACTTACATTTTGAAGTAAGGTTTTACGGTCTACTGCTTGTGCTTTTCATGCAGATTCTTTGATGCACGTTTGTTCAATAAACAGATGTCTGAGCATATTGAATTTTTTTTTTCTTGTTGTCTTTAGGACATCACGAGAAGTCCTCTTCTGACGTCATCTTTTGTCTCTTTTTTTCTTCTTTTTTTATGGAAATTCTTATTTAGGAATAACCCCTTGAGATGTACCATCTGGTTTTCAAACAATTAGACAAAACATTTAACAAAAACAAAATAACAACAAGATAATAAAACGACAGCAAATAAAAACAACAGACAAACAACAGAGAGTTTGTTCAGTGCTACAATACGAGTGCTTCAACATCTGGAATATGTACATTTGGCCGAATGATGCAACCATAAAAAACACGGAGCCTTCGGCTTGAATATTTGTTATATATCTTCATAGAAATAGAATAGTAGTTGATTCATTCCCATTCAGATTAACAAAGCAGGATGGTCAGAGTGGCGGCCATTTTTGTGTACCTTTGCCATTGCGACTGTTGTATGCGGCTAACTAACGTATAAACTAACTCACTGACTTCAGGTTCTGCAGCTGAGACACCAAACATGCAGTGTAGTCGTAACGTTACGAAGCGTAGAGAGCCAAAGGAAATTAGTCAAATTTAACAACTTTATGCTTCATTCACACACTGTTGTTACCAAAGCAACTGACAACAATCGCCTTTTTATACTGTTCAAGTCAAAAGACCACAGAAAATGTATGTATATGTATATGTATGTATATCTTCAATAGTGAACTGGAACAGGCTGTAAGATGAATATGATACTGTCAGACAAAGTAAAATACAATTATTTAAACAACCTTTGAGCTACTTTAAGGGTGAAACAGACGAGGGAACTGTATGTAAGGGTACAATATTGATAAATGAATAACTAAAACCTGTATGAAAGTACTGTAGTATTCTACTGTGTACAACAGGCCTCAGACCTACCCCCTCTCTGGGTGCTTCAGGGGGAGTTGCTGCTTAATGACCCTGATGATTTTCTTAAGTGTGATGCATCTTGGCCCAACCTCTGGGTGGGAAAAGGAAAATATGCACAGAACCAGTCTGTCCGCTCCATTTTCAGGGTTCCATTTTCTCAAGAATGATGACAGATTTGCATCCGTTTCCTGTTTCTCTCCCTCTCTGCTGCAGCGCTGCCGGTTACAGGGAGGAGGATCACCCTCCCCACCTCCCCCACCTCATCTCTGGAAATCGCAGCGAGCAAGCAAAACATTGTGACTGGTTCACCTCGAGCACGAGCGGAGACTGGAATAAAAATGAAAAAAGCAACAACGACCCGGACGGGACCTCGGCACTTGGAACAAGTGGGAGCTGCTGTGACATCGGTAAAGAAACCCCGGAGGGTTGAGACTGGAGTTGGTGAATGAGTAAGTCGTGGCCCAAAATGATTGCCTTAATTACTACGCATATACAGATGTACGAAGTGATGAAACACAAGAGACTTATAGTTCAGAGTTCAAAAGTTGTTTTTCTTTACATGTGGGAAAAAAAAAGTGTCTTGTAAGGAACAGATGTGAATATTTTAATATGATAGAGATAACGTTTGGTTGTAACGTCGACATAATGTTTTAGTTGGGTCGGCTTCGTTAGGTGTCATCGGTTACTAAAGTGGTGAGTTTGCTCTCTGCTCATGCGCAGTCAGCAGTGCGACTTAATCTATTTTTTATCTCGTTTCATATTGTCAACCAAACAAGGCTGGCCTGAGTCGCTCACTCAAACGCTGGCGACAAAACTCTTAATTCACATGGTGTCATAACACATGGAAATCCTCATTCAGACGGTGTATAGAGGGCTGGGAGGGAAATACGAGACATATATACATATATATATATATATACATATATATATATGTATATATATATTGACTGGCTCAATGCGACCCACTGAAATATATCAGAAGAATATCCTCTTACATTAAGATCCACTTACACTAAAGCAAAGATGTCAGGCACATAAACACCATCATAAATATCTGCCACACTCACTTTCTATCAGAGGGGCAGCGGGTGAACCTCGCCGGGCTTTCACCGTCAAGACGAAATACCTTTAGGTTGTTTTCCTCAGATGCAAATTTAGAGCTGACCAGCTGCTTTGTTGATATGTTTTCACTTTAACTGTATGCAAAAGTAACATGGACGTGTGTTATATATTTTTTTAAACCTAGCCTTGATAATTACATAACCAAAGGTGAAACCCTGAATTTATTGTATGTTGTGGACTTCTGGAAAATGTTGTGATAGATTGCACACTGAATAGGGAAAAAAAAAATGTAAATACCCGACATTTATACTTGTGTGTCCTACGATGTGTTGCAGATAAGAGTAATTTGAGACTTTATACTTTCTTTGACTGTTATGAGCATCAACCATAATCACCCGTGTTCGGTTCGTCCTCGCTGATACAATCACGTTGTTGTGAATGCTGCTCCAACATCCTTCATCCATCTTGTTAGTTGTTTTTATTCTTCTTTCTTTTATTTATATATATTTTTTTTACATACTGCACATTAAAAATCAACCTATTCATTCATTTGACGTACTCAAACATGAGGTTTGTGCAGTTTTGTCAGAGAAGCAGTGGATTTTGTTACGTCTCTTAGACCTGCCATGTTGCCCCGTGAATGAAATGATTAGAAGTTGCCAGTATTTTAGCCTTTGGAAGTAGTATAAATATATATATCACATATTTTAATGAAGACTATGCTTTATTTTCCTACATTTCCCTTAAATACTGTGTTAGCTATAATTGCATTAGAGCTCTGGATCTACGTGTCTTTTCCCTCTACTCCTAAAGAAAATCCAAAGTTCACAGTTTTGCTTCTTTTTTGTCCTGAAAGTTTGTATCTGTAATTACCTCAATAATATATCCCTCAGAAAAGCTGTTTACTGAATGTTCCAGATGTTTCCTTAGTATCAGAAAAAAAGACTTGCAAAATAACCACAATAGTTTTGAAATAGACGTCAATAGTTTACTTGGGAAATCCTTATGGGAGGATGTTTTTATTGGGAAGTTTTTCATTTCCGCGTACCAAAAGTTTAAACAGGAACACCAGAATAATCTGCACATTGTTCTTTAAAGAGTTACATGACGATAAGAGTAAGACATGATGAATCTAAATTGAATGACAGTGGATTATAATATCAGGTTGGACTGTAGTTTTCACTTACATGTCACTTACATTGTCTTACCTTTAACCCCTCCACTTCCAGTCTTTATGCTAAGCTAAGCTAATAGGCTGCTGGCTGTAGAGACATATTTACTGTACGGACATGAGAGTGGTGTGGTTTCTGTTGGCCAACTGGCCATAAGACTGAGAACCAGCGTGTTTACCCAGACGTTTAAAAGGTCCAGTCTGTGGGATTGAGCTTAGATTTCTGTTTGATAACCAGTTGGTTTACATCAAATTTATTGATATTCATTACATTTTCTCATTCATTGTTGATATTTTTTTCCTCCACCGTATGATTAGACACTTTTTCTGATGACAAACTGTGGCTAATTCAGAAAAACAGAGTTCAGAAAATCCCCTAAATCCTGCCCACTGGACCTTTGAGAGATACTTTAAATGACAATATAACCAGTATAACTGTCTGTAGATATATATTTTCAGAAGTGATTTTTATTACACTAATCTTGTCAGATCACGAGCCCCAAGCACAAGCTGTTCCAGGACCTGAGGGGCTCGGGCCGGCAGAGATCTCAGCTCTGACCTGGAGTTCTGATTTGGGAACAGTCGGTCAGGGGTGGGGGGGGCGGCCTGAATGTTGGCTCCCATAAAGATCTGAGATGTAGCAAGCCCAGATGCACAACTATCATATACCAACAGCCAACAGTAGCCAGAAGCTGCGCTGCTGTAACAGACACAGATGAATTTGTGGGAGACGAATTTAATCTATCTAGCGACACGTTCAGCTAAAGTTGGGTATTATCACGAAGCAGCACAAAAGACGCTAAGCCAAAGAGTAGTATTTGCCCACAGGTTATCGGAGAGAACGAGAACAGGATCAGGCTGATTGATCCTCCAGGCAACACATCCAATCACGCAGAACAAACAAGCACCAAAGGAGACTGAAGGGAAATCTGTTTAACTGGACAGCCTCTAACCCATTTCCTCATTCTATGAATTAAAAATCATTTATGTGGTTCGAGGCTGCAATTATGTCAAGTTCACTTGAAGCTGCTTTTATCAGGAGATCAGCAGCAACCCGGAGAAGGGCAGTGTGCTGTAATGTAGGAAGCAGGGAAGATAATAAAGGTCGATTTTTAAGCAGATTGAAATAGTACAGGAAGAAAAGTAATTTACCCTCGTGTGTGAGCTGAATGAGAATAAGAAAAGGTCGTAATCCACATTTATCCACACGGATATTTCTCACGAGGTCATCCGGTTGGAATGAGTGGGAAAAGATTAGTCGGAAATATCTAACACAAGAAGACTAAACAACAAATCACAGTTTTCTCTGCTGCTGAATAGTAATAACGTCTGTGATGCTGTCGTGATTCAGCCAATGACCTGCCGGGAGGTCAACATTAGATAATACACGAAACAAGGTGAGAGAATGTTTTAATATGATCACCTCCGGGTTGGAAAACTCAGCAGGGACTATACGTATAATATGTTGAGCTAAAGTCAGTGTCACAGCTACTGACCAGAGGAGATTCCCCCAACGCAGTTTAACTTATTTCAAAAGGAAATTCTTGTTGGCGATTTCTATCACGTTAAGGACTATCTCGGCGTTCACATCGTGAGAAACAGCTTCTCTGTTGAAGCTCATGTATATTTCTGAGGCCTAAACGACTCTGAGACTCAAATCCTCTGAGCTCTCCACAGAGCGGCTATAGGCAAGATTAACTTTAAGATGAATGCCTCCCCAAATCAATAGCAAAAGGATTCCTTCTAAAACAACAACAACAACAACCAATTGACCACAGATCTAAAGCCTCGCAGAGCAGCCCAGTGTGATTTAGTGATGTACTACATTTTATGCTGCTTTCAGTGTTGCCAGATTTGACACAAAACTGTCCCATTTCAGTTCCATGTATAAAACAGGTGCTAGGAAGCAGCCTCAGGGTTGTATTTTTACAATTAGGCAAACCCCAAACCAGCCAAAACAAGGTTTTAATAATGAAAAAGGAGCGATCGAACATTTAAATACTAACTTCTAATAAGAGTTGTAACCTTTTGCAGGTCATTTATCACAGAGGTACGACCAGATAGTAACTTAAAGTTACAATCTTGAAGATCTCCACTTTGTCTCTCCGATGGCGATAAGCGGTACATGAAGGTGTGTTTTGGGATCTCACTTCCCAGAGATCAAAACCATGTCGAGAATTCCTGGGAATGACGGCCAACAGACACCCAAGTTCGTAAAACTGCAAATGCTCAACAACCATTGTGTTACCTCCATAGAAATAGAATAGGAGTAGAACGGACATTGAACTGTTCTCCGTGGTCATGTGACTAGTGCAAAAGAAAATGGCGTTTGTTGTTAGTTGTTAGATGACAACACACGTCAGTAAAGTAAAGTGTAGTTGCAGCTCGCCGGGAAAGAGCGGACGCAGCTCTGGAGACGGATAGCCGGCTCCTTTTCCGTAACCAGTGTAGCATTACAGCATGGGGGAATTAGCAACCTGGCTGACTAGCCAGCTAACCGCTAGTTAACTATTTAGCTTGTTAATTCCACCATGCTGTAATGCTACACTGGTTACAGAAAGTCGGTCGTAATGGCAACGGTTTGGACCATCCTGCTACTTTAATATGAATGAGAATGTCTGTTCTACTACTATTCTATTTCTATTACCTCATTCAGCGATGGACAATGACTTGACAGACATTTATCTTAAAGAAAATTTTAAATATTATTACATTAACTTGGAAATAAAAGGTTGTACCTAGTTGTTGTGAGCGGAAATTACATTTGTTTTTATTGATCATCTGTTATCCATCGCTACTAAAATAGTCACAGATGGTACAAAAATTGTCCCAAATCATCCCAAGCCGCCCAAGACAATTTGTTTTCTGCCCAATTAAATAAAAAGTGGCCAAACTGGATGGAAGACCGCCCAATCTGGCAACACTGACTGCCTTTGCCCGCAGTGATCAGGATGGATATGTTGGTACAAAACCAACTGTTAACACATCGGAGTTTGTGAACTGAATTTGGTTTAAAAGAAATCTCACTTTTAATGTTTCTTGTCTCCAGCAGCTGAGGGGCATCTTAAACAACAACAACCTGGCTAAGCCCAATATCTTCACATTGCACACAAGCAGCACTGTCGACGTTTCGGTATGGCTCTGTTTGGCATCACGTACCACAGATATATACATAAAAGAAGAGTATCGCATTAGTCTGAGGATGAAGACTTGAGTGTTTACTGTAACATCCACAGTGTTAAATAACACCAGGAACCCGTTTTATGTCTTAATCTCCTCATAAACAAGGCGGCTTATGAGCAGCGCTGCAAAACTGTTGGACAGTGACGCAGTTTGTGTTTGTTTCTTGCAGGATATTATGTGACTGACTGGATTTTGGGGTTGTTTTTTGCACCAGCTGCCTCCTGCAGAACAGTATGAACGCTCTTTGGTGCAAACACAATGATTGTTAGTGTTTGCCTGGTTACGTCTCAGATAGGAGGGAAATAAAATGCTTTGCAGAATCCATACGTGTTGGCTGAAAAGGCCTCGGTCTCCACAGATAACGTCAGCTGAAACTACTCGGTTAATAACAGGGTTACCACTTGTCGTCCTTTTGATGGTGATTAGAACATGGCACATTCTGAGATTATGGGATTGATTAAATGATAATAGCCTTCATTAGCTTAAACATTAAACATAAATTTGACTTTGGTATTTTTGGGAACACCTTTCTTTTTTCTGGCTCAGTGTACCAGAGACAGAATATTTTATGCTAATTAAAGAAGACAAATTATTTTGCTGAAGTGCTAATCGCTAGAAGGGAATTAGCATTTCCAGCTGTTGAATGACGACTGCAGAGTTGACACAGTGTAGTGTGTGTGTGTGTGTTACAAACACACACACAGACAGATTGTTATTCGAATAAAACAAGCTGTCTGAATACATCTCTTCGAGCTGTGGGAGACTAGGATAAAGAAATTATATTTAACCCATTTTTTTGACATTTTACCGACAAGGCAATTAATCGACAATATAATTGTCAGATTAATCAATAACAAAAACGATCGTTAATTGCGGCCCTAACTGCAAACAGCAGGAATGTTAGGACATTATGTCATCTCTTCATGCTGTGTGATAAATGTGCTTTGCTCTGTGATATGTCTCTTTTTTTTTGGGATGTAAAACGTTCAATGCCCTGGGAGCGCCGCACGCTGCGACATAAGAACACACGTGGGAACAAAACAAAACACGAGCACACGACGAAAACGTCTTCGACCAATTCGTCAATACAGCATTTAGGAAAACAGGTGGAAAGAAATAAAACACAATTGGAAAGCAGAACATGTTTGGTTGTTTTTTTCTGGATTTGCAGCTCGTTTTATTTCGTTGCACTTTGTTGTTTTTGTCTATTTTCATTCGTCTTCTTTACTTGCAGCGCGTTGAGATCTCAGGATCGCTGTGAATCCTGCATCAAACGTATGAACCAACAGTCTGCCGACAGTCGTAAAGAAGCACATGCTCCTTTTGGAAAGCACAGTACTTTAGCCTGTTTAGACCGGTTACTACGGTCACACTTGGTAACCGCAGCAGATCTTTTGTCATGCAGTGAATGGCACAAGTCCAAGAATCATTGCATGTTTTTGACTCATACAATATGTAAACGGTCGTTTTGTTTTGTTTTGACACAGGATTTGTCTCCGATTCATCAATCTGTCTGATCATTTTACTGTAGTTTGTGAACTTGGTGAAGGAGGGCCGCTGTGTGCTTAATAAAAGAATGAAGCACACAAACAAGGACGAATCATACAAATGAAAGAACATATTAAGATGCGAGTTTGACAGGACGAGGATGGGATTCAAACCCATAATAATCAGGTGTCTATGCAAGCTGGTGCAGTTTGGTCAGCCAAGGCCACGGTCACATTTCTACGGTGGTTATAATTCAGTATATCTACATTAGTCATTATGATTCTCACCATCATCTCACCTGCAGAGACGCAAACTATCTATCTGCACAGATGCAGCGTGGGTAGTCGCAGACAATACATACTGGTTGGGGTTTTTTTTTGGCGACGATGGCAGTGGCGGGGAAAAAAAAGGGGGCGGCATTTGTTGTAATGTTACTGCTTCGCGTTTGTGTACGCTAAATATTCAAACTGTTCTTTTGCCGCTGCCTCGTCGAATCGCGACAAAAAACAAAGGAAGGGAAACGGATCAGCGAAGGGAAGCTGACGGTATCTATTAATGAACATGTAAAATATTTCTACAGTTCAGGTGTTGAGAAATATCCATGTGAGCTTTTGGCCAGCCTTGCTTTTATTCTGCATGATGCTTTGTTTTGAGAAAAATGCATCCTAACCCAAGGTATGTTTATATTCTCTCTCTCTCTCTCTCTCTCTCTCTCTCTCTCTCTCTTTCTCTCTCTCTCTCTCTCTTTGGAGCTCGTCACTTCTGACCTTAATTCTCTCTATATATTTATTTTTGTTTTCGTTTTCTTCTTTGTTTTATTTTTTGGTAAACCTTCCAACTTCTGGATTTTCTACATTCATAACATTTTGTAGACAGCAATATGAGATGTGATTGAAAAATGGAATATGTGCAATGTTGATTAAAGAAAAATATAATATATTCAATAAAAATTCAGAAAGCAGAAGTGGTTTTGAAGATGTGTTATTTTTGTTGTTGGAAGTGAACTGCCGATGACTTGAATCCAGTTTGGGGGCCACTTCTCACCGTAACACACGCTTACTTTTTCATCCGCTGTGTCAGCAGGGGCCGAGTGTCACAGTGCGTCAGGACGTTCCCATCCGGTGGCCTTTTACGGTGGTTGCGTTTGAAACTCGATGCCCGGGCCGTTCGTGTTCGACACCATTTAAATATTTTAAATGGGGTCTGTTGTGGTGCAATTACTTGACTCTTGGATAAACACCAGTTCATCCATCATGCTGGTGATTGACGGACACACGGCAGCCGGATTGTGCCTCCTCGCTGCAAAACACACACACACACACAAAGTCCCGACAACATTATGTATCATCTTTCATGCTCCACAAAGCTTTGAGAAACTAAATGGAGTTTTTTTCATGAGTTCGTTGTGCACGACAGCGACCCTGAAAGGTCGACGTACGACTCTGGGATCGGGTCACGGAGAAAGAGAATTAGACCAGCGTTGGAGATATTTATAGTAGCTCACCCTTTACGCTGTCTCCACTAAACAAGGCAAGGTACACGAGGTCCATCCTACACAATCACGGGAACACGTGCGCACGCACAAACACACGCGGCCGACCGGCTCGTTCAGACGACCGCCGACTCATCGCGAGCGACCCTGAAGAAGCAGCGATGCGGAACGTGTCGCCGGCCGTTTAGCTCTTGTGGTTGTGCGCGTGCATAAACTATGAATGTGAACAAACGAGCCGCCAGGCTGAGATAGCAGCAGAACATCTGTTACCTCGTTGGAGTTCTCTGTGTGCTCTGCTATAAATTCATATGTTGTATTCTTGTTTGACACAAGTATTTTTATTTTATTTTTTCTAATCTGGATTGAAATTAAATTGCCGGTGGTTTGTGTGTTTTCCATTGTAACATTCTGAGGCAGGCATAAAAAAACAACCCTCCCAGCATGCACCGGGGGACAGACGGATGACCATAATTATCATTGTATGTGTTTTCTTGCATTGTTAACGGTGTTATTGTGATTTATATTGTGTTCTAAAATGTTTCCACTGTTTCCATACTTGTATTGTTTAGAATCGCGGACAGACCATGAGTGGTGCTGTGCGAACAATTGTTACATTGTGCTCCACAATAGAAGTGCGGGCTGAATCCAAAGGTTGGTGACTACTGTTATCCTCAGTCTGGTCAGAGAGGTAATGTGAGAAAACAATACTGCACTCTAACAAATGTACATTTTAAAGCCTTTGCACAACGGGGCCGTGACGAATAAACAACACAAAAATGAGCCTGTGAATATTTTGCATTAAAACTATTCATAGCGATGCAAATTTGCGACAGTTGCAGCACTTTTTCAATAGAAAAGTTGGAATAGATAAGCCACAGTCAGCCATTTTATTGAGCTTCCTTTTAGCGAAATGCTCTGAGAGAATTCCCCTCTGCTAAACAGCTACGCAGTGTACATGTCTAGGGCTTTTATTGTGAAAGGGGAGAGCGGAAGGAGTGGATCTGCGCTGCCTTTGTCAGGGTCGATAGGAGCAATAAAATTTCCCGTCACAACGTGATTGGTTGATGAGTTTATCCCCAATTTAAAAGCACCTGTGTGAAAGTACTCATGACAGAATAACAGCTCGAAAAGGCCTTTAAAAGGGAAGAATGGAGTCATGTTGATTCAACTTGTTTTTTGTACATTTGGGGCGGAAGCAAAACGCCTCATGTTCTTAATATAATCATAAACTTTACATGCAGATAGACGGAGTGCGGCCTCGTCACCGTCTCCGCTCCACAGCTCCTGTTGCCTCAGTCAGCGTCTGCTGCGGTCTACCAGGAAAAGGCCGCCATCACTCAGAGGTGTAAGACAACACCTGACAGGGAACAATGTCTCGCCACGTGGTCGGAGGCTGCTCTCGTACATTCATGCCGGTGAGTTCGGCGTCCGCCGCTTCCCCCTCTGGGAGGAAACCCAACGCCGCCGTACTGTACGCCGCTGGGCCCTGAAACCCAATCGCCCAAATCCCAAAAAGGAACCCGCCCCTCTCCTTTACAAACAACGCTCCTGTCGCAGGGCCGCGGAGTCGGAAAAGTTGTCGGCCACTATTGTGCTCGCCGGCACGGACAAACTGCTCTTATACATGCAGAAAATGTCAGCAGGCCTTCTGCCAGACAAATAAAGCACGACTCGGGCCAGTGACCTCCCCAGGGGAACATTTACCAGCTTCTGCACTTAGATCCAGTGGAGCTGACCTTGGACCTACTCCCCTGGCCAACGCCTTTCACTTCTCAATTTATTAGGTTTGACAGTCAACGACATTGGATAGATGTGTTGTCAAGGATAGATATAGCATTTAACAGTACTGCTATAAAAATTAAATATGTCTAAGATAGATAGATAGATAGATAGATAGATAGATAGATAGATAGATAGATAGAAGTGGTTAGTTTTAGTGACAAAAGTTTTCTAATATTCAATAAAAAATGCGATCAGGGATCTCAAAAAGTTTTATTTGCTCCCTTTATTCTTTTGTGCTGATCTGTGACTAATCCGTGATACGATCCGCCAGACAGACGACAGATAGATAGATGCAAACAAACCACATAATAAGATCAATTATCAGGAAGTG